CCCGGAGCAGGGTGTGGGCCCCACGGCCGCCTGGCGGCCGCGCTAACAACCTTTCATTGGAGAGCCCAGCAGAAGCGACACGTAAACACCGGCCGACACGGAGCCTCGGTGCCCAGGTGACAACGGCGAGAGCCGAGGACTGGGCACACTGGAGATGGACGACGTGCTCCGTCGCGCCCTGCGGGACGTGCCTTTCGCGCGTCACAGTCTCTGGTGTGTCACGATGTCGACGACCCGGATTTGTTAAAATGTGGCAGTCTCCTGCTTTTTAATTGTTTATTAAGCTGTTTACACAATGGTCAGTCCCAAGGAAACATCAGAGCTGGCTGTTGTTTCTGTCCGCAGACCAACCATTTGCAGCTTGTCAATGGTGTCCCCCGCCCTCCCCCCCAGCTCGCAGGGCCTCCGCCTGCCCCCGGGAGCAGGTGTCCTCCCCAGTAGGAGCCTCTTTTCACGGGTTTGGCACTGGAGTTGGAAGCTTTTCTTCAGTCCAAAAGCGAATAAGACAAAGATGCTACAGAACAGGGCGTCCCCGGCGGAGACACTGGAACCGGCCCTCACGGTGGAGGCGGCTCTTCCCTGGAGGCTGGTAGGTGGGTGGCGGGCGTTGTGTCCAGCACTTCGAAGCAAAGCAAAACCTGTGCCCTGCCCCCGCCCCTCCCGGCACCGGCGTCGGCGGGGCTGGGCGGGCGCCATTCAAACCCCTCGCTGCCACGAAAGACCCCCTCCCCAGTCCTGGGCGCTTGCAGCCGGACCGTGCGGGACCCCCTGCGCCAGATGCGCTGACGTGGGCCTGCACCCCCCTCCCCCAGACCAGGGGTGCGGGGGCAAAGCCATCAGCAGGAGGGCCGCCGCCCTGCGGGAACCCTAACTTCCAGGGCCCTCGGCGAGGACTCGGGGCATCCGCCGTCCTACGGCAGCCGCTCTGTAACGTCGACCCGGCTAGTGTGACCCGCCCCCCTGTCCCCTCCACGCCCCCATCCTCAGAGGGGCTCGGAACGCGGGTACAACGACAGTCCTCCACGCCCCCCTGTTCCCTCCACGCCCCCCTGTCCCCTCCACGCCCCCGTCCTCAGAGGGGCTCGGAACGCGGGTTCAACGACATTTTGTCCAAAGCGCTTTGACATGTGACATGCAGGAAGCACCTTTTGCTCCTCTTAAGCCTATTTTTCAATCGGCCATGGCCACCGGCCCTGAGCTGTCGGGGAGACGTGTCCTACGTTTCACGGTCGTTCTCTGCCCCTCCGTCCTCCCCCAGGGCAGCTCCTGGCAGCCATCCGCTGGGGGCTCCACTGGCCTGGGCACAGCTGAGGGTCCCCGCAGAGGAAGGGCGAGGTGGGGTCGTTCTGTGGGGACTCTAAGCCAGGGTGGCAGACTGAGGGCCGTCTCCTGCTTACCCCCCAGGGGGCCAGCTCAGGCTGGACGGCTGTCAGGCTGCGAACAGCAGAGGAGGCTGCAGGGACCGAGGGCTGGCGCTCAGCTGACGAAACG